TATCGGTCTGGCTCTAAAAGATAGCTTAAAGAAAAAAATATCATGACACTGTTGAACTACAAAGGGCAAAAAAGGATATAAAACTAGAAATTCTCAAAGCTAAACGAGACTATAAATATAAACTGGAGAACAAGATGGCAACAAACAACCTTGGGTCAGCCTGGGACAGTATGAAAACAATAGCAGGCCTCCAGAATTTAAAGAGCAGCAGCCCAGTCACGCTGAATGGCTTCAGTTCAGATACTGAACTGGCCAATGCTCTTAGTCAATTTCATAATCGTTTTGATATTTTTGATTTTAGAAATGAGATTGACACTTTGAGTAACCAGCTTGTAGACGTTCAACATTTTAATATAACACAAACAGAAGTGCAAAAAGCATTCTGCTGTCATGTCAGCATAGATGTGGGCTAAAGAAAACAAAGTTGCTTGTCAGATTTTCCTTTTACCCTTGTGCATCAATTAAAAAAAGTTACACATTGGTAAAAAGAGGACAAAAATGTCCATGTCAAAAAACTGCCATAAAAATGTGATGCTTTGGAGCACAGACTTAAGTTTGGTATCATTTTAAAGAAGACCCTTTGCAGATTATTGCGGAAGTAAAAAAATAATAATAAGTAAATCCAAAAAAAAGTTGTATAGGTATATGAAAATTATTTATGAGAAAATATTTTATATAAAATATATATTTTATAAATCAGGTTGAACTCAAAACTGCAATAAAATCAAAGCCATAAATCTAAATAGGTTGTGTTCCAAATTTGAGGATGATATCTCAAAAAATGAGCTTTCGGTAACAGTTTGTTTGGGCGTAGTAACATATTTTCCCCATTGGGTGCCAGCAAAACCCCACTGGAGCTCACAGTGATTGGATTTGAATTTGCAGTTTTTCTCTCTCAGTATTACAAACACACACATGCGCACACACACACATATTTTTTTTATAACACACATACTAACCACACTCTGACATCCATACCAACACACCCACACAAATATTGTTGCATAATTTATCCAGTTGGCTCTATAGTATGCCGAAGCAGAAAACAGGAATAAAGCGATATTTGTTTTATAGGCCAAACTTAAAAAAAAAATGGCACCATCTGATAAAAAATAGTAAAAAATTAAAATTTGAAGCCTTGCCATCAGAATGAAAGCCTCTTAACAAAGATTGCATAATTTTATAGTTAACTGAACCGGGGATTAAAAATGGCAGTTTTAATGGGTTTCAATGGGGACATTTTCGTCCAAAAGGTGCTGAGAGGGAGTATTTTTGTACCTAATGCAAAAAAAAATATTTTTTTAAGAAAATGACGGTGAAATAGTAAAATTCCAATAAAAATACACACCTGTGCCAAGTTTTTTGCAGTTAGCTTTAACACAGGCAAAGTGATCAAAAAAACAAAACTGAAAAGGACAAAAATGTCCATAAGGATGCACAAGCCCCAAAAAACACAACCCGTGCTGTTTTAACGTGACTTAAAAAAAAAAGTCGCGTATTATAAACTGCTTCGCGCCCTGTCGCTCTTTGGCGCCCCCCAGGGGAGACGCGCCTCACCTATTGAGAACCGCTGCTGTATACAAACATGTGCCAGAGTAGGTGGGAAAACAGGTCTATAATTAAATACGCAGATGATTCAGTAATTGTCCGTCTGCTCCAAGATAGGCAAACAGGCCATGGTCCAGTCATCGATGAGGCTTCTCACCTTCAACTAAATGTAGTTAAAACAAAGGATATGCTTATTGATTTTAGAAAGAAAAAAAAACTATACACAGGAAATTACATCAATCAATGGTCAAACTGTTGAATGCGTCACTTCATATAAATACCTGGGGATGATAATAGACCACAAACTCACGTTCGAAAGTAACTGTGAAGCGGTGCTGTGTAAAAAAGGGCATCAGCGCCTGTCTTGTTTGAGGAAATTGAGCAAATTCCAGGTTGACAAATCTATCATGACCCTATTTTATCATACGTTTATTGAGTCAGTTCTATCATTTGCACTAGCAGCCTGGTTTGGGAATCTCACTTTGAAAAATTCTCACTCAACCAAGTAGTAAAGTGGTCTAGTAGGCTGATTGGTGAGCAACAGCCTAACGTGGAGACCTTATACACAAAACAGGTGCAGCGCATAACTAAGGCCATGTCCACACTAATACTTGTGACAAAAGGAGTATTTTTACAGAAGGAGTATTTCCTTCAGAAAGGCTGTTGGTTAGCAAGGTTAGCTAAACTTTTTTTGACCCTGCCTCTTAAAAGAATCTGAATCGAGAATCGTTAGGAACCGGAATCGAAACAAGGAATCGGAATCAGAATCGTTCAAATTCAAACGATACCCAACCCTCATAGAAAGTAACATATTTTAGCAATAGTGTAAAAATGAATAACACACAACAGGCACAATACCGATAAACATGAATATCTATTGGTACTACATGGATCACATGACTAAACTTGCGTCATCGTTTTGAAATACCTCCGGTTTCACTGTCCACACTACAACGCGAAAACGGCGTTTTCAAATTTATCCACTTTGGAGAGCGTTTTCCAAACGATACGTTTTTGTTGACTTAAAACGCCGTCTCAGTGCGGATGGAAGGCCAAAACGGAGAGAAAAATATACGCTTTCAAACGAAAACGTATTAGTGTGGACATGGCCTCTACTGCAAACAAAATCTACCTTCGGGTATAAATAAAGTAACTTGAACTTTGAACTTGATATAATTTAGGACATCATCATTAAGATTTCCTGCTTTGACACAACATTCACTCGCTATAACCTCCTCACCCACAAGAAATCGATACAACAACCCCTACACCTTTTGCTGTAAATCTGGCAGCACAACCCCAGACACAAGACGTTTTCATCATCGATTCATATTATATTTAGTTATACAGTATTAATATCTGAACATTAAATATATCAAGATCAAAAGAGAAAAAAAGCCAAAAGACCTTTTTGTTTTAGCGTCACTTGAATGTTGGTAAGTTTCATTAAAAAAAACTAATATTCTGTTGAATAACTCCCTGTGGTGAAACTCCAGCTTTTAATGTTGTTTATGTGTCTATGTGGTGTTTTTAATCATGTGTAAGTTCATGAGTCGACAGCATTGCTGAGTATTTCCTCCTTAAAACTGCAGTGAACCAAAGACAGTCTCAAAAACACGCTTTGAAATCGCTGGTGTTTCTGACGTCACAAACCACCTTGTAACCAATCAGATCAACGTGTGATCACCAGAGGATCTCTAATTTCGAGGATGCTATGTCAATGTCGAGGACTGAGCCCTTCGTTCGCATATGTGTAGCCTTCACGCTCTCAATCACCCACAATCCTATGCGCAGCTTTGCTATCTTGTTCAAAAAATAAAAAAATGTCGACCGGTGTTCGAAATAAAAAATCTCCGATGTTAGCGGAGTCAGAGTGATAACGGCAATATGCTTTCAAATGTAAGCAAGTCTAATTTCAGTTTTGCCATTTATTTAATCTTTTTTAAACGGCTCAAGTGATTTGCAGAGGGGATTTAAAGCTGTTTCCTTTTACTGGTGATTCACTTTTTAATTTTTACTTCATATAACGTTATTGCCTTTTTTGTTGGTCACATATTTTACCATTGCATGTGTTTTAACAGCTAACGTTAGATTGTGTCGCTATGGACGCAGTTCTCTTCACTCCAGTAATATAATCGTTTTTAAATGAAAAAACTCCTTTTTAATTCAATATTTTGTGTTAATTTGGTAGGTAGCCGTGTTATAAGTGGGAAAATGTATAGCGAGGCCGTTGTTACAGCGAATACAAACCCTTCAGGCTGATTCAAGACCCCTCCGCGTTAGAGTTTGCGGGATTCGCTATGACAACCGTCTCGCTATAGAGAGCCTAAGTCCCGCCCCTCCGCTTCCGGCTCATGGGACCTTATTTCGGAAAAAATATGAATAGTAGTCAATGGCGAGAGACAACTTATCTTTTTATTCCGTCTGAACTGTGCCCTCATTTACACATATTATGTTTGTCAATTTAAAAGATAATTATGAAAGTCAAAAACGACGCAGTTTGTCATAAAACAGAAGAGTAACATTTAGTTTTATGTGAAAATCGCTCTATGAACTACATCTCCCAGGAAGCGAAACAACGAGTGAGACTCGCTGCTCGTGTGTGTGCAGTCTGGTACAAAACACTCAGGTATGACGGCGTAACGTTACGATTATAACGTAAGACTGTAGAAACAATGACAGACGATAGCCTCAGTAAAGTTAGCTTCATTCATTGAGAGAAAATGTGCGCCTGTGGGGTTTGTAGTCTTTGTAATTACGTATTTTCACAGTCCAACGGTTTTACATCAAACTGCGACTTTCTTTACTTTAAAATGTATTTTTTAAATTGACAAACATCATATGTGTAATTCAGGGCACAATTCAAACCAGATCAAAATATTTGTTGTCTCTCGCCATTGACTACCATTCAATATTTTTCCGAAATAAGGTCCCATGGTGGTCGACCGGAAGGGGAGGGACTCAGGCTCTCTATACATTATCCCTTACTTTATTTATTTATTTCTATAATGGCTAACAAGACAAAATAAGGACTGTTAAGTGTGTTTAAACAGTGCGGTACACCAGTAGCACTACCATTTTTTTGTAGCGCCGAAGCGACCTTTCACTGATATAATGACGCAATGACGTGCGCTTGCTTTACGTCTTCTCCGAATGCTAAAGAGGAGCCTCGGCTAGCCTCTGAAGGAAATGACTTGGAAGGATCCGTCCTGCCTAGGAAGTATCCTTGACATCGAGAAACACCTACTGAGTGAGTGGAGGCGGGGCTCATTTGCATATTCACAGAACCGTGCTAATACTAAATGAGGCGAGGGTGTCGAGTTACAGCAGAACGTTCTCTGGGGATATTGTGTGTTTTGTTGGTGTAAACTGATCCTCTCTGCCCCTCAAGCGTGTTTCGTATTAAAGTGGCGTTGAGTTTAACGTTTCCTCTGTTCTCCTTCTGTCTACAGCTGCTGATGTCAGTGTATCAAGGCGGATACAACTTCTTCTGCCAGGACACACACAGTGCGGGAGAGGCCGACACCAGGGTAACACAACTGAGCTTCACATGCATGAGACCCAACGATGTTATACAGTGCAATACACACAAAAGAAATGATCCACACGGCCCGTCCCAACCGGCACCCGAAGCCTCACGATCGTCCTCCGTCTGCACTTCTGAAACTCCCTACGGCCTCGTGGACTATTTTATTATAATTTATATTAGAGAGACATAGCTGCATACACCAGTAGACCAATGACACACACACACACACACACACACAAAAAAAAACAGCTAGTTAAATTAATCGATATACATATAATAGTATATACAGGTACAATGAATGGGTTATTCCATTGTGATTTAACATTTTTGATTTTATATAGTATTTGTTTAGTGATTTAAAAAACAAAGCACATATATAAACTCACTGAGTGATTTAATAGTGAAACAATCATCATAAAAATATTAGTATTAGTGTCTAGTAGCAGCACACTAATACTGACAATAATATTAATAATAATGCCAACACTTTACAATAAGGTTCATTCATTAATGTATTAACTACATTTGTTACAGTATTTATTAAATATTCATTATTAGTTCATATTAACTAATGTAGTTAACTAATGTTAACTAACGAACCTTATTGTAAAGTGTTACCAAACATGCTACTAACCATGAGCAATACATTTGTTACTGCATTTGTTCATCTTTGTTAATGTTAGTTCATGAAAACACAGCTGTTCATTGTTTCTTCATGTTAGTTCACGGTGCATTAACTAATGTTAACAAGTTTTTAATCAAGTATTAGTAAATGTTGAAAATAACATTAAGAAAGATTAACAAATGCTGTATATGTGCTATTCATTATTAGTTCATATTAACTAATGTAGTTAACTAACGAACCTTATTGTAAAGTGTTACCAACTTTGTTAATGTTAATTACATAGCTGTCAACCCTCTCGTTTTTTTCCGAGTTTCTCACGTATTTTATCTCTGTTCCCGCTGTTTTCCCGTTTTAGTATTTTCCCGTAATATATCCCGTATTTTTACGCTCTGATTGTGTGAGACGTACAAGCTCGGACATATTCAGCTTGAAGTCGTTCATACTCGGATGCAGGTCGGAGACACGCTGGCTGCGTGCGTCTCAGCTGCGCGGCGTGACCGTTTTTATTTCACTGTCTATGGTTTTTATTTCGGCTCCTGGTTAATAGCTTAGAGCTTGCACACTGCCTGCGTGACGCGCGCAAACGTGTGCATGCTAGATATAGAACCAGAGATGCCTATTTTTTTGCGCGTTGGAAGCGTTTCCAGGGGGGAAAAAAACTATGTTTATACTGTATGTCAAAAATTTCCATTATTTTTGCCTATATATATTTTCATGTCATTTTTTTTTTAAACAATCGAGTCCTGGTGTCCACTACAGAGGTCATAGCATAACATAGGAATTAGAGCCAGACCGATATATCGGCCGATATTAGGCATTTTCCATAATATCGGTATCGGCAGTTATAATGGCCGATAAATTAATATTTCAAAAATAAACTAAAAACGGACGAAACACGCTTTAAATCATCTCTCCTTGGCCTGTTATATTGAAAATGTATGTTTTACAACTTGCAGTATGACGTTATCTATTGTTAAATTATGGCTCATCATAGACTAGCTAACCACAAAGCTAGCTAATGCCACTATAAACAGTGGAAGATCGCTAACGTTAACATTAATGAGCTTGGAAACCACAATGAACTTTTACTGCCTAAATAAAGTAATTATTACTGTATTTATAGCTAGCATATCTCTAGTTACAGTCCCTGGATTGTAAAATGTAAGTTATACAAGCGAGGAGTGAACATTTAGACATAGAGAAAAAGTATCAAATGTATCTTGTGCAGAAAAGTTAGCTTTTCTTTTACACGTGTGTGAAATACAACAATATTTAAAAAAAAAAAAATATCGGCCGATATATCGGAATATCGGATTTTAAAACCCCAAAATATTTGTATCGTATCGGCCTTCAAAATCCTTTATCGGACGGGCTGTAATAGGAATAAAATATCTTTTTTTTTCATTTGTTTTTTATGCTCTTAATAATGTAAAAAAAATCCCTTATTTTGGCGATGGATTCCGGGAAATCTCCCTTACTTTCAATGTTCAGTGTTGACAGCTATGTAATTAATATAAATCCAGCTGTTCATTGTTGGTTCACATTAACTAATGCTAAACAACACAACCTTTGATTTTAATAACGTATGTTGAAGTTAACATTAACTAAGATTAATAAACGCTGAAGGAGGATTGTTCACGTTAACTAATGAACCTTATTGTAAAGTGTTAGCATAATAATAATTATAATAATATAATATCACTTTATGCTGTGATCAGCGGTGGCCTAACCAGACACTCGAGTGAGTCGCTAGTGCGCATCAAGCGTGCCGTTCGGGACGGGGCCGACGTCTCCGTTCTCCAGTAGCTCTATTCCCTGTGTTACTGTACCGTTAGCTAGGATATTGTTCATCAGGTGTGACACGGCATTAGACATGTCCAGAGCAAACGCTGGTCTGATGATGTGATTGATTCAAAGTTGTGGATTGGTCAGTGTCATTTGTCAAACATGTGACGTGCCGGTCAGGCGAGGACAGGAGGATCTGTGGCAGCAAACGCTTATTTATATTCACAAACCAAAGTGGAGAAAACACTAACGCAAAAGCTTTGAAAACCAAAGACAATACTTGACAAAGGAGCTGAGGAAACCGAGGGCGTTACATACAGAGGGGAATGAGGAACTAGCGCAGAGACAGGTGAGCGAACCAGTTAACAGATCAGTAGAGGAGGAAACCAGTCCAACAAACCACACAGGAACCACACGCAGGAACAGGGGTCAAAGCGGAAATATGCTACGTTAAAATAATATACCAAAGTGCAAACTGAATGAAATGTTTTTGAAGACGTGACATTAACCCCTTAACACCTGAAGTTATTTACAATTTTATATATATAAAAAAAATATTATTTGTTTCTGGCTCAAATTAAGTTGAGATTGTTCATTTGTCTATAGCATATAGAATAGATATACATTTAGGTATGAAGCCAATTAGCGACAACAGACATTTATGGAAAAATGTTTTACAAAATAGTACAATTAATAAAACTGTGCTTTTAGTTAGAAATTTACCACATGGCTTTTTTTAACTAGAAGGGTCTTTATATGTAATTTCATTATTTACGTGTGTTCCGACAAGCATTTATGGTAAATTAAATAACACATGCATGCATATATTTAAGGATTTTTTTTCTATTTATATATCAAATATTTATAAATAATGTGTAATATATATATATATATATATATATATATATATATAAATAAATTGAAAAAAAATCTTAAATATATGCATGCATGTGTGTGTGTGTATTTATATATATATATATATATATATATATATACAAAATAATTATACACAGTACACACATTTATTATGTGAACACAAACTTCTATTTTTGTATGGGATTAATCGTTGCACTGTACTATTAAAAAGCTTTTATTTAACAGCATCATGTTTGATGTGAAGTGTATAGAGACTGAATCAGAAGTGGACTGAGAATCAATGAGTTATTAAAGGAGTAGTTCACTTTTAAAAAAAAACTTTTGCTGATAATTTACTCGCCCCCATGTCATCCAAGATGTCCATGTCTTTCTTTCTTCAGTCGAAAAGAAATTAAGGTTTTTAATGAAAATAATCCAGGGTTTTTCTCCATATAATGGACTTCAATGGGGACCAAACGGTTCAAGGTCCAAAAGACAGTTTCAGTGCAAACTGTTCAAAGGGCTTTAAACGACACCAGACGATGAATAAGGGTCTTATCAATCGAAACGATCGCTCATTTAATAAATAAATAACAAAGTTTAAGTTTTATAAGCTCAATTGGTCGCCTTGCTCTGTTCTGTGATGCGTGTTCGTGACTCTCCTGTTCAAACTTGTTCATTAAAATGAACAAATCTTTTTCCGAGTCAATTCGTTCGTTTCGTTCGTTGAATGAACCAAACGACTCTGAAAAAGATTTGTTTATTTTGATTAACGAGTTCGAACAGTTTGCAGTTTGCACTAAAACTGTCTTTTGGACCTTGAACCGTTTGGTTCCCATTGAAGTCCATTATATGGAGAAAAATCAAAAACCTTCATTTCTTTTCGACTGAAGAAAGAAAGACATGCACATCTTGGATGACATGGGGGTGAGTAAATTATCAGCAAGCATTTTTTATAAGTGAACTACTCCTTTAACGACTTCTGCACTGTCTTAATATTACATGTCTGTATAATGCCTAGAGAAATGATTGATGTGTGAATGCTTGTGTTTATCCCGTCCTCAGATGATTCATGTACTCTGGTGGTATTACTTCTCCAAACTCATTGAGTTTATGGACACGTTCTTCTTCATCCTGAGGAAGAACAACCACCAGATCACGTTCCTGCACGTGTACCACCACGCCAGCATGCTGAACATCTGGTGGTTCGTCATGAACTGGGTGCCGTGTGGACACTGTGAGTTCTGCGACTCAGACGCTTATGCTGCAGATTATATGCTGAATTATTCAGATGCAGAAAAACAAACTAACACAGAACAGGGCAAAAGTGCTCATCTTTAGATAACTGCTTGCATTATGTTACATGGTATTTAAAGGAGTGGATTCACTCCATCTCTGGCATTAAAGGGATATTTCACTTAAAAATGTCCTGGCTCTTCCAAGCTTTATAATGGCAGTGAATGGCCGTTTCTGTTCATAAACTTTTATGATCGATAGATGCACTTTTATGATGGATAGTGTCACTTTTATCTTGATGGACAGATGCACTTTTATGATGGACAGATGCACTTTTATGATGGACAGATGCACTTTTATGATGGACAGATGCACTTTTATGATGGATAGATGCACTTTTATGATGGACAGATGCACTTTTATGATGGACGGATGCACTTTTATGATGGACAGATGCACTTTTATGATGGATAAATGCACTTTTATGATGGATAGATGCACTTTTATGACAGATATATGCACTTTTATCATGGATAGATGCACTTTTATGATGAATAGATGCACTTTTATCATGGATAGATGCACTTTTATGATGAATAGATGCACTTTTATGATGCACTTTATGATGAATAGATGCACTTTTATGATGGATAGATGCACTTTTATGATGGACAGATGCACTTTTATGATGGATAAATGCACTTTTATGATGGATAGATGCACTTTTATGATGGACGGATGCACTTTTATGATGGACGGATGCACTTTTATGATGGATAAATGCACTTTTATGATGGATAGATGCACTTTTATGATGGACGGATGCACTTTTATGATGGATAAATGCACTTTTATGATGGATAGATGCACTTTTATGATGGACGGATGCACTTTTATGATGGACAGATTCACTTTTATCATGGATAGATGCACTTTTATGATGATAGATGCACTTTTATGATGGATAGATGCACTTATGATGATAGATGCACTTTTATGACGGATAGATGCACTTTTATGATGAATAGATTAGATGCACTTTTATGATGGACAGATGCACTTTTATGATGAATAGATTAGATGCACTTTTATGATGGATAGATGCACTTTTATGACAGATAGATGCACTTTAATGGACTTCAAAACAGCCAGTCACTGCCACTATAAAGCTTGGAAGAGCCTGGACATTTAAAGTAAAAAATATATAACTGATTGTATTCATCTGAAAGAAGAAAGTCATACACACCTTGATGGGCTCGAGGGCGAGTAAATCATGGGCTAATTTCCATTGTAAAGTGAAATACTCCTTCACTTCCTAGAATAGATTGTGGATACTGATCGTTGATTAAAGTGTGTAGTGCTGGTTATTCATGCAAAAACGTGGCTGAACTCGCCTTATGCCATATTTACAATGCAAATGTGACACAAAAGCGGCTCTGGGGTGAACAAGAACATACGCTTAGCAGAACAGAAAACGAAACGCAATCGTAAACGTAGACAACACAGGACAAGAACATCAAACTCAAACTGAGGGCTCAAATACAACCACGAAAATGAGAAGTAACCAGACAAAGACAACCATAGAAACCAGGAAACAGGAACTAAGAAACATGTAACTAACACACATAGGGTGTGTTCACACTTCGCTTGGTCCAGTGTGGTGACAAATAACTTTATTCCAGAGCTGCCATGAAGCCAAAACAATCTCTGTAACTTTAATCTCCTATGATCACTGTAAAGCAATCGGAACAATCTACATTAATGAGATGTAAATGATGATTTGGCTTGACTAATCGTGGCTTGACCTGCGTAATGCTGGATATTAATGCAAGCTATTAAATGAAACCACCATTATAATAATCTTAATGTGTTTGAAGGAAATGCATGAACTAATGCTGGTCTCTCTTCTCTCTTCATCAGCGTATTTCGGCGCCACGTTTAACAGCTTCATCCATGTGCTGATGTACTCGTACTACGGGCTCTCCGCCGTGCCGGCCATCAGACCGTACCTGTGGTGGAAGAAGTACATCACTCAAGGCCAGCTGGCAAGTGCACGGCGTCCATCTCTCGTCCTGTACTTCAGTAACCGCTGCTGTAATGGCAGATTAGTCTAATAGCTGAACCAATCATCTTCAAACAGAGGTTACAATACATGGGATACAAAGTTTCAGCTTGTTCATATGTGGAACTGTTCACTTGTAAGATGTCCTTGTGTGACGTCAAAGGGATAGTTCACTTTGAAATTAATTTTTAATGTTTTATCCTACCTCAAGGGCATCCAAGATGTAGGCGTCTTTGTTTCCGCAGTATTTTCAATTTTGATATTTTTAGGTCAAACCGTTGTTGTCTGTCAGTCTTATAATGGCGGTCTATGGTCACCACCTCAAAGAGCATGCACAGAGAAGTCCAGATTAAACATGATTTAATGACTCGTGAATGTAAGTACACATTGATGGCCTAAGACACGAAACGAGCGGTTTGTGTGAGAAAACGAACAGTATTTATATCGTTTTTACCTCTTGTAACCACAGCCACGTCCAACTGATCTGAGGGTGTGGGCGCTTTGTGGCTGTGGTTACAAGAGGTAAAACGGTATCAATACTGTTCGTTTTCTCACACAAACCGCTCGTTTCGTGTCTTAGGCCATCAGTATGTACTTACATTTACGAGTCATTAAATCATGTTTAATCTGGACTTCTCTGTGCATGCTCTTTGAGGTGGTGACCATAGACCGCCATTATAAGACTGACAGACAACAACGGTTTGACCTAAAAATATCAAAATTGAAACTACTGCGGAAACAAAGACACCTACATCTTGGATGACCTTGAGGGAAGATAAAACATACCAAAAATTAATTTCAAAGTGAACTATCCTTTTTTTAAAAAAAAGCTATGAAAATACGTAATGTTTAAAGTTTTCATATGGGTCAAAAGTACAGCAATATTGTGAAATATTATTATAATGTAAATCAGATGTTTTCAATGTGAATATATTAATTTATTCCTGTGATCAAAGCTGAATTTATCATCATTACTCCAGTCAGTCACATGATCCTTCACAAATCACTCTAATATGATGATTTGATGCTCAACAAACATTTATGATTATTATCAGTGTTAAACAGTTTTGCTGCTTCATATTTGTGTGAAAAAAGTGACCTTTTTTGATAAATAGAAAGTTCAAACGAGCAGCATTTATTTAACGCTCTCCTCGCCAGTGTTTGTGAAAGAAGTTGCCTGCGTTTTTGGACGTTTTCACACAATTGCCTCCAGAATGTTTTTGTTTTATGAATATCAGATATTCCGTTAAATGTTTATGATCGTGTCATTTTACATATGCCATCGCTTGTTTCTTCCTCTCCTGTGTTTTGATCAGGAGATTCTGCCCTTTCAGTAGATATGTAACAGCGCCCCCTACAGTATAACAGTGAGAACGCGTATAGCGAAAATCTCCGTCAGTGGCGGGAAAGAGTTCATAATGCAACATTATGAGTGTCTTTTGATCAATTTAATGCATCCTTGCTGAATAAAAGTAAATGAAAAAACCAAACCTCTGAACGGTAGTGTATAGATTATAATGGTTGTAAATGGCAGAATTTGGACTCTTAGTTTCGCTGCTCTAACTGATAACTCACGGCTGTTTTCCCTCAGGTCCAGTTCGTCCTGACCATGTTCCAGACGTCTTGCGCTGTGGTTTGGCCGTGTGGTTTCCCAATGGGCTGGCTGTATTTCCAAATCTCTTACTGCATGACTCTGATCTTACTCTTCTCAAACTTCTACATACAGGTAAACCAACTCTCGTTTTGGCATAAGGAAAGAATACAAAGGAGCGAGAGTAAAACGTTCCCTTTCTTTGCTCCACAGACCTATAAGAAACACGCGGGATCTCGGAAGACCGATCACCCGAACGGATCGATAAACGGCCACACTAATGGCGTAACGTCCAGCGAGAAGGTTACACGCAGAAAGCCACGCACAGATTGATATCAACGCAGTAGAAGAGCTACATGTACATGTGTGTCATCTTACCGCGCTAAAGCCATTTAATCCTTAAGAGACTCCTTACATGTTTGCACACTGCAACCTCATGTTATTCATATTGAATCCAAAAAAAAAAAAAACAGGAAAAGAGTGATAAAATTAGGGTCCAAGTTAGTGCGTCTCAGGCGTCTAGAGTATTTTTGTTTTCATATATTTTTCTTGAAATATAAAGATGGCTAACCTTATTACTGTACTCATTTGAGCTGGTGTTTTCACTAAACGTGTCTGTAGACATAGTTGACCAAATATACTCCGGTATGCCACACTTTTAGAGCTCAATACACACACACACACTTCTAGCCTATGCAATGCGTCTTTACAGATGATCTGACGGTCGGTAGATGATAATACGAAACCGTCAGGAGAAATTATAGAAGATAATCAGTTTTATTGACCGTTAATTGATTGTTTAGTGAATTACAGTAAGTTTACAAAAGAAAATGGACTGTTTATTTAATGTTAACAGTGATTTAACGTAGTTTGTTGTTAGCGCTGTACTGGACAGGCGAATCTTATTAAAACATATCCATTTCATTTCAACTTACACATTTTTGGTGTATTTCTCACCATTCCCATCCCATTTTTTTATTTCCAAAGTATTACAGTAAAGGTTTTACTGTAACATTTGTTTTCATTACTGTAATGCTGTAAGAGTTAGTTAAATTTTTACAATAAGGTTATTAGATAACATTCATTAATCTTAGCTAATGCTCACTGAATCATTATTAAAATCCAAAGTTGTATAATATTATTTACTGGACCTGAGCTAAAATGAACAGTTGTATGTTTGATGGATAAGTACTGTATTTAAACGTAGTGCTCATTGCTAGTTCATGCATTGGCTAATGAGACCTTATTGTAAAGTGCCACAGATTATTTCCCAAATGTGGTAAAATTTCATAAATCCAGTCATAAAACTTTAATAGATTTAGGAGTGAATGCATTGAGATTGATTCATGCAGTCCTGTGGATGCATCGATAAAGAAATAAATTAGACCACTAATATATACTTGTCTGTTGTCAAAAATGTCGCTTTAGTGAATCACTGCTTACACTGTAACGACAGCACATGCATAACCTCTGAAACGCGTTCCTGTGAGGCTGTGTGCAGTTCGTGAAGAAACTGGACATGTGTCGACAGGTTAGCGCTCTCTGTGCCAGCATTCCCCACATTGTCAAGCAACGGTTTGTTTGAACACTTTTCTTAGTCTAGCCGGCTGTAACTTAAGTGTGTTAGAGTTAAACCGTTAGCATAGAACTACAGGAAATCAATATTTGTGTAACATTGATCTGTCATTAATAAATCCTTGTCAGTTATTGCTGTTAATAAACAAGCCATTCTCTCTGTTAGTGTCCAGTTTAGTTGGATAAGTAATAATATCTTGCATTAACTGTGATGCTTCCCTGATAAACAATGTAATGCTTTTGACCCATCCAACCAACAAGATAACATGTGCTATTAATACAGAAGAGAGATTTAATGAGGTGTATCACAGAACTATTAATAACGGGAAGGGTTAACCGACACAATACCAATAAAGTGATTTTTATTTGGAGATAAATTTGTGCCAGTGTTTGATTTAAGGTATTTGAATATTATATTTACCCCCAATTCAACTATAATTAAATCTGCAAGCAGCAATGAAAAGGGCTCTCGCACCCGTGCCGCCGCCACCCGGCGGTTTTAGGAAAACAGAGCATGGTGGGCAGAACGTAATGATAATAAATATAGGAGGACTATGTCAAAGTGCTTGTATTTGCACACTTCCTGCTACCAGCAGGTGGCGCTATTGCTATAACCAAATATGAGCATGGTCATGTGTTCAGGACAGGACTCTTATCAAACATGTGAAGTTTGGGGCAGATCGGACATTGCGTGCCTGCCGTCTGTGGTTGCCTAGCAACATCGGAACTGCAAGCAATATTGAACTATATGACACATTCATGCACAAATCACCAAAAGGCTGAAATTAGGTGTACATTTGTCAGGCCGCCAAGGGCACACCCTTCGACGAAAACTCAAGATGTTAAGGCCTTAAGATTACACTCACCAAAATTGAAGAGGTCAAAACTGTAGGAGGAGTTCGTTAAAGTACAACGTCTGGAATTGGCAAAAACTTGAGAGGAAATTCAAAATAGCTGACGTCCTGTTGTGTTTAGGGCTATGCTCCAAGAGACTATTTTGCAGGTATTGTGTCATTACATGTATTTACCGAATTTCACACCTGTGCGTCAAACGTCAAACGCCAAACGCAATGATGTCGGGGGCGCTATTGAGCCATTTTGCCCCACACATTTGTCAGGCCGCCGAGAGCACACCCTTCGACGAAAACTCAAGATCTTCGCAATTTAACGTCGCAAATGCCTTAAGATTAAACTCACCAAATTTGAAGAGGATCAGATCAACATTTTAGGAGGAGTTCATTAAAGTAAAACATCAGGAAATTACGAAAAATGCTCAAAATCTAGGAGGAAGTTCAAAATAGCTGACTTCCTGTTGTGTTTAGGGCTATGCTCCAAGAGACTTTTTTGTAGGTATTGATTCATTACATGTATGTGCCGAATTTCATACCTGTACATGAAACGTAGAGCCGGGGCAAAATGTGGGGGCAATAATTTAAAGAATTTGCCCCACCCAATTTTGAAAACCATATCACACATACATTTTCACCACTTCTGAAGCGTGTGTAAAGTTTCATGAGTTTTCGAGCATGTGTAGGCCCTCTAAAAATCAATTATTTGAAGAGAAGAAGAATAATAATAATGAACAGAGCAAAAACTATAGTGTCTTCTCACCATCGGTGCTCTGGCCCTAACAAATAGCTTCTTGCCGACAGCAGCCTTCTTGCAAAATAGAAAACACAAACAAATTAATCTAGCAATATTAATCCGCAATTATTATAATATGGTGTCTACTTACAGCGAGTGCAAATAGTCTGCTTTGTTGGCAGAAGCTGTTTACACGGACTCTTCCCACCATTGTCTGATTGAGCCGGACAGAATTACAAAAGAAGTCCTGCTGAGAACAGGATCAGGTGAGGACACTAGTGGGACATTTACTGGTGTTACTCCATGTTGTAGACATCGAATCCTTTTTTTAAGGGAAAAGACTAAATGGAAATGGAATCAGTCCATAAAATGCTTCATATCAAAGATTAACGTGCGTTTTGCCATCGCTGCTATTTTATCTGTGGGAAAAGTGGGTTCAGGAAACCATTCAGGCTCAGCACAGCAAGTCCACTGTATTTACACAGAGACATAACCTACATTACACACTCAGAAAAAAGGAACAAAAGCTGTCACTGGGGCGGTACCCTTTCAAACGGTTCACGTTTGTAGCCAGCGAGAGCATATTAGCACCTAAATGGTGCCGTGTGACCTTTTTTAAAGGGTACCGTCGCAGTGACTGCTGTTGGACCAGTTTTTACGAGAGTACAGGGAAGTTGCTGACCGTTAAAGTAACTTCTCCATCTTGCCAATAACTCTCCGCCACAGGATGTAGTGGCTAATGGCTTCAAAAACGTTAGCACAAAAACATTACATCGTTCATGGAACTTGTTTCTGAAATGTTTTAGTCTAACGTCTTTTAAATCAGATTCAGATGTAATGTTCCCATGATGTCTGCAACATTTGTTCCTTCAACGTTCCCACATCCAGGAAATAACTTTTTTAAAACATTTCAGAAATGTTTTCTTAACTTAAAAGGAGAACTCCGGCGCAAAATGAACCGTTGGTCCAATAAAACATTGGTACCTTGTCGAGTCGACCATTTTCTGAGATTTGTTTTCATGATAATCGACTATAAAGAGTTTTATCTCTAAAAACTGTTCAGCGTACAATGCTAGTATATGGGGGCATATAATAAGTAAAAATAAATTGCTAGTTTTTACCACTAATTTTGAGAAACTGATCGACTTGTCGAGATTTTTTCCAAAGATGGCTCCTGTCTGTGTACACAAAGTGAACTGTCTTTAGAAAGTATCTTCTTATTAAACGGTCTGTACACTTACAAAGTTCTCAATGCTACGGTTTGCATTTAGGGACCCTCATTATGTTACTGTGTTAGTGTGGGGCTATTTTGAGCCTTGTTAGTGGTATAAACTATCAATTTATTTTTACTTATTATATGCCCCCATATACTAGCGTTATACGCTAAACAGTTTTAGAGATAAAACTCTTTACATTCGATTATCATGAAAGCAAATCTCAGAGAACGGTTGACACCTACCAAGCCTCTAGTTCAGTGATATCCTTGGGTTTGCGCCTTCAAATCCCACCAGAGATTTTCGATGGGGTTCAAGTCCCTGGCCACTGTAGACTCTTCCAGGACTTCTTCTGAAACCAAGCCTTGGTGGAATTTGAGTTATGCTTGGGATCATTATCCTGTTGGAAATTTCTAATGAGGGCCAAGCTTCCGCTTCCTCACTGACGGCATGGCATTGTCTCCTTCCTGATACTTCAATGAATCCGTCTTGCCTTCCCCACTCTGCAGGCTTCCAGTGCCGGAGGATGTAAATCAGCCGCAGAGCATCACCGATCCACCATGCCGAACTGTAGACTAGGGATGGGAATCGAGAACCGGTTCATCTTCAGAACCAGTGCCCAGTCAATCGATTCCTTGGAACCGTTAGCATGCCCGCTTAATTCGGCTTATCGGTTCAAATGCGTCATGACGTCACACATGTGCTGTGGTGTTTTGGTTCAGAACGCAGCAAATCGTATCGAGCAGTGTTGTAGTCGAGACCACCTCACTCGAGTCCGAGTCGACACCGAGACCAGAGAGAGTCGAGTCCGAGTCGAGTCCGAAACCAGAGACCAGTGAGGGTTGATTACCTAATTTACTTTTATTTACTTAGAGAAATCTTTTTTTTTTTTTTTTTTACTGAATTTACTTAGAGTTTAAAAAATATGACCAGTTTAGGGTAAAAAGGCCACATAGTAGGTGGTGTTAAAAGTAATTTTATTACAATTTGTCATGCGCAGTTGCGCACTAGAAAATCACCAATCACTGGGCGTGTCAATCAATTTAAAGAAATATTTTATTAACATACATTAATAATCATGAAAAAAATTTTTAATTCCCGAGTGGACTCGGGAATAATTCCGAGTCCTAAAATGAAAAATGTTTGAGTACGAGTCAATTCCGAGTCCAAATGCACACGAGTCCATGACAAGACCAAGACCATTAAAATATGGTCTCGAGACCGAGACGAGTCCGAGTCTCGAGTACTACAACAGAGACTTCAAGAGATTTCCATGACGCATGCGCGAGAACTGCGATCTCCTTCAACTACTTCAGTTCAGTTCCTGCGCATGCGTCGCGGAAATCTCTTGAAGTCTCGTTTCAGGCCAACAAGGAAGAGAAGGAATATCTTCATTTGTGCCTCGAAGACGAACGAAGGTCTTACGGGGTTGGAACAGCATGGGGGTGAGTAATTAATGACTTAATTTTCATTTTTGGGTGAACTAACCCTTTAATTTGCAGGACTGTCGCGTGTTTTATACACTAACACCACTTACCGACACAAGTGAGTCAAGCAGCAGCGGAGCTAACGGGACGCCGTCTGGTGTTAATCCCGAAGGCAACTTTAAACTCTCCAGGCAGGACAGGCCCTGACTACCTAGTTAATGTGTGCACCATTTCAATCATAAGTTGATAGTTGTGGTCTTTACAGAAGACTTCTTGTGAGTTGGATTTTGTTTCAGGTTGAATCCAAATGAGCTCTGATAATATTCCAAGTGGCGCAAGCTCACAAGCTCTCTCTGTATTTTTAGTTTTATGGCACATAAATGGCAGTTTTATTTATTTTTTTTGTCTGCACCAATGAATGTAAAAAAATGAACAATTTCCTAATCCGAAGGCACTCTTCTTGATAATCTGTCAAGGCACACACTTGAGAAACACTGCCTGGGCTATGGGTAGCTCACCTATTTTAGGTTTGTTCTGAGGTTTCTACACATCATTTGTGTATTCTCTGTGCTCTGTCTTCTGATCAGATATAAAAGTGAGTTAATACAAACAAACAAATTTGTACCTATTCCCTCACCCAATGAGCAGACTGATCTCATGAAATGGCGTATGTTTGACACGCCAATTCGTATTTCCATTTTTGGCGTGCTATCAACACGCATAATGGCTTTTCAGCGTGTTTATGAACACCGTTGACTTAACGTTACATTACTGTATATATAAATATATGTCCTACCCCAACCCCGTCCCTAAACCTACCCGTCACTGGGGTTAATAGCATTTATGAGTCTTCCTTCACCATTTTAGGGAAAAAAATATCGCTTCCCAGATGTAGATGTAGACATACACGCATACACGCGGACACATGTATGATGGATAGCTCAAAATGCATATAGATAACATGCCAAGTCAAGTTATTAGGTTAGGTCAGGTTATTACTTGTGTTTATGCAAAAGTCATGATGTCATGTTGAGCTGGAGGGGGCGGGAACACAACTGTCACGGTTCATGAATTCACTGACTCTTTCTCGCGCTGTGTTTGTGTGTGTGGGCGTGGCCACTGATCATCCGGCATGATCTGATCAGCGGCGTCTATTTAGTTCAGACTGACCTCATGAAGTAGCATGTGTATGACACGCCAATTCGTATTTCCATTTTTGGCGTGCTATCAACACGCATAATCACTTTTCAGCGTGTTTATGAACGCCGTTGACTTAACGTTATTACTGCATATATAAATATATGACTTACCTCAACCCCGTCCCTAAACCTACGGTACCCGTCACTGGGGTTAATGGCATTTATGACTGTTCCTGTCTTGATAGCACGCCAAAAATGGAAATACGAATTGGCGTGTCATACACGCGCTACTTCATGAGATCAGTGTGGAAAGAGAAACATCGCTCCCCAGATGTAGATCTACATTTTGCTTTGTTTTGCTCGGACATTTGATGGCGTGTACAGACACGCGGAATGACGCGGACGTTAATGCCGTAGACATAGGGCTGGGCGATATGGCCAAAAAATCATATCTCGATATTTTTTGGTCAAATGGCGATATACGATATATATCTCAGTACTTTCTACGTTTTCTATTTAGATAAAGAAAATCTTTATATTTAAAAAAAAATATATATATATATATATTCACATTCGGCCCAATGATATCCTACAAACAATGTTGATATTGAAGGATATGGAAACAAATATAATATAGGCTATGTAATATATTATGTGCAAAAAGCTTTTGTTTTTTATATTGACTAAAGGCTAAACTAAAAATGAAAATAAAAACAAAAGCACAAACTATTATATTAGCCTGCATTTGATTACCCCATTATAATTACTTTCACTTTCATTAAAAATATATACTTGTAGGTTTAAAATTCCACATATGGCACATTTATTTTCTCCAACAACAAATATTTTAGCAATATGTTTATTTTAGTCAGAATTATTGCGTACTACGTAGTACTATTCACGCGCATGCGCGCGCCTGCGCTCGTTCAAGGAAGCATGAATTTTAGCGGAGATTCACTTGCAGAAGCTCGTCCTCTTCTGACATGGACATATTTGTTGTGAAATGGACATATTTGCTTTACTTTCTAACATTTACAGATGGAGAATATACCTGTGAAATGTAAGTTGAGCACTGAGGAAAGCACCACATCTCAAACGCATTAAACAGCGCAAGTATATCTTGTCAGTCAGCAACAGTGTCTGTCAGAGCATTTGACAGGGCGGCAAGCTGCCTTAAACTTGTTAACTATATCAAAGTGATTTTGACGCAATTAATATAAGCTTGTGTCATGTTTAGGACAAATTGTACTAAGTTGCCTAGCTACTTTCACTGCAGCAGCTCACACTGCAACCTCCGCTATTTTTCAGATGTGCTCATTTCAAACTACTGTATCGATATAAACGGTATTGCCTCATTCCATATCGTTTCAAAAAATATAACGATACATCGTACAAACTCGATATATCGCCCAGCCCTACGTAGACATACACGCGGATAACTCAAAATGCGTCGAGATAACACGCCACTTGACTCGATATGGCGTGCATGTTTACGCAAAAGTCATGATGTCATGTTGATTTAGTCATGGTCCTTTATCTTGTGTTTGTCAGATCGTTGTTGGACGTTTTTCCCAGGGCAGTGTCTGGTCTTCGAGTTCCACCTGTTCCTCGCTGGATTTACTCGCCTGTTTTGTCTTCCTGCCTTTTCCCGGAGGATTTCTATCTTTAAGCCCTGTGATATTCTGTGTTTACTGGATTCCTGTTCGCTCCATTTCCTTCCTCGGAGGATCAGGTTGGCCATCTGCGTCCCTGCGCTACCGTAGAGACTGGTCCGGTTACTTCACTCATCTGACATTTTCTCCTGTTGTGAACTGCCTTTACTCGCACTTGCATCTTCTGTTCATTCAAGCGTCGCAACAACCTTCTGGCAGCACCTACATGGTGTGCAGGGCCTGTCTTGCCTCCACATTTGCCTTGACATAAGCCATAATGAAAAATGAGGCAGCACCAGCACTTCAGCTGGTCAATGTATCGCCACGAATGCATCCAACTCCATCAAGAGCCGAGCGCACTCATGCAAACACTTAATTCCAATCTCTCGGGAGAGAATCAACAAGAACAGAGATAACTTAAGGGATAATGCAAATCCATTATAATGAGCGAATCAAGTTCCCTCAGGAGACAAACATACTCCAACACAGTGTTTATCTTACGTGTGCATACAAAGAAGCAGCTCCTGAAGTCATAAAAGCTGATGATGTGTATTACAGGCGCACTTTTATACTTATGGGCACTCCGCTTGTGGCGTCACCATCCAATAGCGATGGCGTGTTTGTTACACATGCTTCAGGCACCTGTCACACTGATCACGTTTCCCATAACATCCTAACCTCATCAATCCAATATGCAGTACCTAAGTTCAGCTTCGAAAAGGGAACATCTGACAAAAAGTTCATTTGTAAGCTTTTTGACGCAGCCTAAAACTCTCAAAAAGAACCACAGTGCTACCATTTTTTTATTTTTTTTTTTATTTATCCTTTATTTAACCAGGTTAAAAAGCTCATGGAGATTAAAAATCTCTTTTACAAGAGATACCTGGCCAAGATGCAGCATAAAATACATAAAAAGACACATTTCAAATACACATATATCACAAAGACCCTGTGCAAAAAAAAAAAAAAAAAAAAAAAAAATTAATACAATTTTATGAACAGTTACACTGACCAATGTTATAAACCATGTTTATATATATATATATATATATATATATATACCATATGGAAGCTTGTTTCCGCTCACAGAATAAAAACTAAAAAGGGTAATTGTGGTTTTTAATTTTAAAATTTGTTAATTTAAATTTTTAATTCAGAATTTTTTTTCTCAGAGTTTAAATACCGAAATTCCGACCTTTTTTTCTCAGAATTCGGAGATAAACCCACAATTGCGGAGAATTAAAAAGTCACAATTAAATAAAAGGTCACTTTCAAAACTCTTCAACACATCTAAATATTGTTCAGAAGTCTTGATTGTGTTGTGAGTTTCAGGATGAACCCAATGAAAGACAGTTTTTCAGAACACACGGACTAAAACAGGGAAAATAAAACCCACGAGGGGAAAACAGCACAGAGATGGAAAATAACGACAAGCAACACTAGACTAAGACTTTTAAAAACGACACACACGTTTCATACAAAGACACAACTAAGATAGCAAACACAAGGGGATAAAATAGGGAGAAACAGATGACATAAGGTAATGATGATGACAAGGGTGTGGGGTAAGAGAATGAGACCACACAAGCACACAGCCCAAACACAAGGCCATGTACCTGCACACAAAACACGGGTCCGGCATGATCCTGCCTCAAGACTAGAGAAAGATAATGACAGATTGAGCTGACGCAAAAGTGTGTTGTCACAAACCATCATCAGATATAGATTCGGTGGTCAGTGTGATGCATTAACAGTTTTAAACATTTGCTGGGTTATTTCTAGTCTTGGCTTCCTCATCTTCTATTTTGGCTGTCAAGTCTTGGTGATAGGCCAAAAGTATTTTACTGCGGCTAATCTAAAAAAAACCATCATCACTTTCCTGTTTGCATTCCATTTTGATTTCAAAGTCCTTTTTCAACACAGTTTTGCTTAACTCAAGATCTGTGAATACCAGTGGTGGAATGTAACGAAGTACAAATACTTTGTTACTTTACTTAAGTACATTTTTCACGTATCTTTACTTTACTTAAGTAGAATAAATAGCGCATACTTTTTACTTTTACTTCGTTACATTTTGCAGCAATTATTCTACTTTCTACTCCACTACATTTCTACAAGTTCTGTTACATTTTTGTTACATTTTCTGATCAGTTTTCCCCCGGCCAAAACGTAATCTGACCGTCCGTCCGTTGCACGTTTGTCTCACCAGTGACGTTTGGTTGCCATAGATACATCAACTAAATGCGTCTCACACGCAGTGTGTTTATCATGTAATTTATACGCGAAAATGTGTTTTTACGTGCATAGGAAACACACCGTGTGTATTTTATTTTTTGCCTCATTTTTTTTAATTTTTTTATGGCAAGCAAAGAGGTTCAGAATTACACCATAAATTAATCGCGTCTACTGCCAAACATAGTTATTAACATATGGATAAACATGGTTTATATTGCCTAATTGCAAGCTTGTTTCAGAAATGGTGACAGCAATTTTTTTCCATCATTATTGAACATCATTAGGAGTATTGGGTTGAATGAGTTAGAATTAAATGTTTTATTAATCATTAGAAAGTATTAATTAAGAGAATCAATTGTTATTCAAGTACTTTTACTTTTAATACTTAAAGTACATTTAAAATCAGGTACTTTTTACTTAAGTATGGTTGTCATTGTGTTACTTCTACTTTTACTAAAGTAAATATTTATCTGGTTATTTGTACTTTTACTTAAGTACTGAGATTCAGTACTTCCTCCACCACTGGTGAATACTAAGGTGTCTCGCTTGCCTGATATTATTACAGGCAACAACCTGGACTTTTTTATAACAGAAACTTGTCATGAACACAGTAATGGACTTTGTTTTTAATACAGTTACTCCCCTGGGTACGGACTGTTTGATTGTCCTCGACTTTCGAGGAGAGGCGGGGTTACCATTGTGCTACTTCATTTGGTAATTAGCATCAGCTCTGTGTCTAAACCAATGTTTACGTCCTTTGAATGTCTTGTTGTTTTGAGTATCTCTGCCTTGCAATTTACTGTCATTTCAGACCTCCAAAGATTAAGGAATCTTACTGTCTTTGTTGAGTTTTAAGTTTAAGAGAATACTTATTCTGGGATGTTTCAATTCCACAATGGCCAAAGATTTGTTGGTGCTTTTGGATTGTTTCAGTCTTACTCAGTTTGTATTGTTTCAGTCTTACTCAGTTTGTAAAGGGTCTACTCATAGAATAGGTCACACACCAGACCCGTTGACTGCAAATGAGTTGTGTCCCGGCCTTCTCCTGTTGATATTGCTCTTTCTAACCATTTAGCTGTATTTTTCAACTTGGATTTATTATTTTCATGTGTAGCTAGTCTTGTACGGTCAAGTTTCAAAAGTGGGGATCAATGGATCAGACCGTATATGCAACTGCTGTTGTTTCCTCTTTCACTGAATTGGGCCCAACGTCCTTAGATGATGAACTTTAACAGCTACATAATACGTTGGCTACAAACCTGGATTTTTTTTGTTCCTCTTAAGATTTGTGAAAGTATGTTAGTACACTGGCAGCCTCACATCAGCTGTGTAATCATTTTTTGTATCATTTTTACCAGAATTCACCTTTGGCTAAGCCCCGCCCCCCTTAGTTACTGTTGCTACATCCGTCAAACTTCATCTGGGCTCTGGTTTGGTATCAACATGGCTCTTCCTGCTGAAATGTTATCAAACTTTTATAAAGCTGCAAATAAAGTGTCCAATAGAAGTAGGCAAAAGGCGTTCAATATGCGTTCGAAGGCTATATTCAAGACATACAGGTGAAACGCAAGAAACAACAAGGCATCCAAATAGAGGCATAAGCATAACGTTAGCGGTCACAGTCAAAAAATGAACCACCGCATATTCCTACTAATGGAGACGGAGGCTGGGACTAACAATATCAGGGAGCAACACTGTTCATGCAAAGCTATAGGTCTCTATTCACTTCTATAATCGTTATTACAAAGCAAATGGACTACACGAGTACTGTATAACGTTGTATTTATTAGCAGCGTGTGCTAGCGTATCAACAACTGGTGTGAGAACCGAAATCATAACCTAAAACATTATAAAACGGTCTAACTAGTATAACTTCACACTCACAGTAAGGTTAGAAGTAAAAAAGATGTGCTTGTTGATCTTTGCGGGGTTTATCTGACTGAGGACGTCCACACAGTTTAATCCAAATACGACACTTGTCAGGATTTGACTTCGGTTTTGGGAAGGGGAAAAAACGGACACCCCCTCCAACCTCTGTGGGAAACGCGTATCTGTGTTACAAATGCCCGAGGCACAACGTTTAACCATTTTTGATAAAACTAAGACGGTAATAGCCTGCCGAGACCAAAAATATGAGACGCCTGTGTTGAAAGTCAATGGAGCGCTGTGAAAAAGTGTCGGACCTCTGTGGGAGCTCGTTCTTGGCTGCGCTGTGATTGGTCAATCTAGAATCTAGGGCGTGGCTTAGCCAAAGGCGAATTTTATTATTAATTGAACAACCCTGCTTACAGCGACTAATGACTTACTCTTGGCTTCTTGGCCGCATTTGACACTGTGATCATATTATTATTATTTTTTTTTTATATTGCCTTAATATTTATGGCAGAGTTTTAAACTGGTTTAGATCTTATTTGACCGGACACCGACAGTTTGTTGCTTTAAGGGTATATAGGTCTGAGATTGGACCAGTTTCTTGTGGTATCCCACAGGGCTCAATTTTAGGACCCTTAACTTTTAGTCTTTTTTATTCCCGCTTGGCAAACTTTTACAAACTCTAGATGTTAAGTATAATTTTAATGCACATGACACAGATTCATATTCACTGTACACTGTAAAAAATATCCGTGATTTTAACAGTAAAAGACTGTAAAAATGCTATTGCAAAACTGTTAATTGGTTAACAGAAAGTTTCCGTACTATACACGGTAAATAACTGTGATATAATTTTACAGTAAAATACCATTAAATTTACAGTTTTTGAAAGTGAAAAAGAACAAATCGTTGTATAATTTACGGTGAAAAAACGTAAATTGACATTCCCACAATTCCCTGTGTGACACTTCACATTTGATGTATTTTTGTTGAAATAACTATGAATTTTTTTTCTAATCAGTTATGTACATTAGGGTTTTATGTTACATTTAATGTTGTTAAATTAATGTTTATAGCATTTTTTTTATTTCATGTGTGTTACCATGATGGTGTTTAATGTTTGTGTGAATGACACTGTGCAGCTTCTTTATATAAGTATTACTTAAATAAGAAATCACTTCTGATGAGCTGTGATTGCTCAAGTAACTCTCATCACTGTTGTGATGATTGATGGTTGTCAGTGTATTACAATGGTCTAAAACTGATATTAATAAATTGGTAAATCAACATTTTATCAGAAAATAAAATACTGTTTATTTCTGTAAATTTTAAGTTAAGTCTGTAAAACCATTAACGTTCCTACCATATTTTTAACGGTAAAGTTCTGGCAACCACAGCTGCCGTTTTTTTACCGTAAAATTTACGGTTTATTTTTTACAGTGTAAACATGGTCAAAGTCAGGCTGTTTCATTGCTCACTAAATGTATTTCTGAGATAAAATCATGGATGGATAATAATTTTCTTTGTTTAAATGGTGATTATACTGAGATCATGCTCATTGGTTCTCCTCATCGGCTCTTTTATGCGTGCCAAACCCTTTTTTCATCATTGATGGTTTTGTACTTGAGTTCCAGAAACAATTGAGGAATCTAAGAGGAATCTCTCTTTGATTCTTTATTGACATTTTACCTCAAAATGTGGTAAAGACATTTTTATCTTAGAAATATTGCAAAATTGTGTCCCATGCTATCCCTTTCAGTAGCAAAATAGTTCAAATCATTTTGTTTTTCCCTAATTGATTACTTAGTGAATCATCTACAGCATGTCAAACATTCTGTTAGAAATTTAACTGGGACCAAAACAAGAACCTTTAAAAGGCGCATAAAATAAAGTTATTATTATTATTATGCCTGTTCATCAGTACCAGGAAAAGGTACAGTTTTTTAAAGGTACATTATAATATATGAAAAGCCAAGCCAATGTTGATTCTTGTTTTATGACGAGCTCTGTCTCGTTCTCTTTTCTCCTTTCTTTCTTCTGCGTTTGTTTAAAACGACTGATTCTCTGGAGGTTGAAGATTTAGCAGCAACTTTTCTCTTTTGCTGTGACAACTAACACACACACACACACACACACCCACACCCACTTACTCAACTAACCTCTGACATTCCCATACCAGACACACACACACACACACACACACACCCACACCCACTTACTCAACTAACCTCTGACATTCCCATACCAGACACACACACACACACACACACACACACACACACACACACACACACACACACACACACACACACACACACACACACACACACACACACTCATCTATTCTCTGAAACTCCCACACCAGACACACACACATACATTCAACTAACCTCATTCAACTGAGATTCCCACACCAGATACACACACACACACACACCAGACATGTGTTAAAGCAGGCGGAGCAACTTTATTCCAGGATATGATGAGACACGCACAGGCAAGTGAAATACAGTATGTATGCAATTTTCCAGGAAACCAGATCTAAAATATCTCAAAGAATTTGGCCATTTTGTGCAAACTTTTATTCTAATCTTTACAAATCTAAATATTAAGCGGTCATTTTTCAGTCTTTAAAGGCATTTAAACACTCTAATACCTGAACCTAAGAAAGACATTATTTTGATAGACAGCTGCCACCCAGTTCGTCTGTTAAACTGTGATTATAAGATATTAGCTTTGTTACTCTTTGCCAGCAGACTCTCCTCTGCTAAAAGACTGAAAGTGTTTTGGCCACAGTAACAGATTGATTAGGTCAGGTTTCATCCCAAAGAGGCATATTGTTAACACTACAGGCCTTTGTATTGGATTTGCTACTGATTAAGGAGGAAAGCTTTATTCCTTTTTTTAGATTTTTACAAAGCCTTTGATTCCCTTGAACACAAATTGTACAAAGAACAAGGGATTAATGTATCTGATAAACATATTCTCATAATGATGATGATAATTTTGATCATATCATAAGTTTTCTCTAAAACTTCTGGTCTAACTTTTAATTTTGATAAATGTGAACTGCTTTGTTCTGCCCTATCCTTGTATAATATTCCTGTTAAGTCTCAAGTGAGCTATTTGGGTGTAATTATTTGCAAAGTTGACATTGCGAGAGGTAGAGAAAACTCTGATCCTTCAATTGCTAAGACAAAGAGAAAGTTAATTTCCTAGCTCCAGTGACTCGAAGAGCTCTCCTCGGCTAAGATGGGGGTGTTTCTAGGTTGACTAATCCTGCTCTTTCTTTGCATGTAGGCAAATCGAGTTGTGTCGAAGCCCAGGACAAGGACTGGCTGACCGGGCATCATGCATCTCAAGGACTGGGCCTGGTGTCGATGCCTCCTCCAAGCCTGACTGCCAAAGGAGGAACTCACAGGGGAACTCTCCGGGAGAGCAAAATGGTGCTCGACTCTCGTATCCCCCCCTTGGTTACCGTGATTTTACCAAGTAAGACATGTTAAACATTCCTGTGCCAAAATGTAGTCTTTACCCAATCCTTACCCTAAACCTACCCATAACGTTTCCCTATAATCAGAGGGTAATGATGGGTGAATAACACTGATGTTTAAGTACTTCATCCTGGTTTTAAGCCTAAACATGACATAAACTGTAAACTCAATCTGATTGGTTGATTGGAAAGTTGTTCCAGGATCAACAAATATGGTACTTGGTGAAACCATAGAGGGTTTGACCATATCCCACCTTGTTTTCTCGCTCCTCCGTCCTCCATCCTGTCCTCCATCCTATGATCCAGAAACCGTTCGAGATCAGCCATCTTGAAGGACCGTGGGGGAAGCTTCCTGAGGAGTCATGAGCGAGGATACACGGGTGTTTCCTTTGCCGAAGAGTTTTATCGACCCTCATTCTTCTTTTGCTTTAGCTCATTCATATACATTCAAAACCGGTTCTGATAGACTTGGAGCATCCCCTTCAATTCCAACAAACTTGGTCCACCAAAATAATGAAAATAACAGCAGTAAAATCCTTCCAGAGTCCTTCCAGTCCATCTTTTAAATTAAGAAAGTCGCAGTTTGATGTAAAACTGTTGAGGTATAAGACTGAAAATACGTAATTACAAAGACTACAAACCCCACAGGCGCACATTTTCTCTCAATGAATGAAGCTAACTTTACTGAGGCTGATGTCTGTCATTGTTTCTACAGTCTTACGTTATAATCGTAACGTTACGCCGTCATACCTGAGTGTTTTGTACCAGACTGCACACACACGAGCAGCGGATCTCACTCGTTGTTTCGCTTCCTGGGAGATGTAGTTCACAGAGTGATTTTCACATAAAACTAAATGTTACTCTTCTGTTTTATGACAAACTGTGACGTTTTTGACTTTCAGAATTATCTTTTAAATTGACAAACATCATATGTGTAATTGAGGGCACAGTTCAGACGGAATAAAAAGATAAGTTGTCTCTCACCATTGACTAGTACTACCATTCATATTTTTTCCCGAAATAAGGTCCCATGAGCCGGAAGCGGAGGGGCGAGACGGCTCTCTATGCTATGAAGGAGAGGGGAACGATGGGATATGTTTTCTCCATCCAGAGGTATATGGAATTCACAAATCATGTTCACGAATAAGGTCATTTTTTCTTTTTTATTACCTTCATGTTTGATCACCATTTTATGCATCGTAATGAATTAGCTGAAATCGTTCATATTTTTTTAAAATATTGAAACTCATTCATATTTTAGACAAACGTGAACGTACTGTATTACTGCCTGATGACATAACGTACTGTAAACTTCTTCAATCAGATGCAAAATTTCTATAGGGATGTTCGCCAGCGTCATATGTGACGTCACGAAATGGGCGCGAACTGGTTGGCAGAAAGAACCAAAACGTACTCAGCAGTCTATGTGTTCTGCCAGCAAAATGATAATTCTTTGTACGAAAAAGCTAAAAGGAGATCGGTAAATCTTTTATATAACCATGGTTCATGTTCTATGCCTGATCCATATCGCCTGAGTGAGAATTGCAAAAGCCCTAACACATGGCCACATTTGACATTCGGCGACATCTACCTGTATCTCATCGACACGCCATCTGTTTATCAGAGAGTTAATGAAGGCGTACAAATCTTTAGATGCCTATAAGTCATAATTACAAATATTACTTGTGTTAACTGGATAACTGGTAAATTTGTTACAACTAGAGTAAAATAGAGGTGTAATTTGTCCATGGACTATATTTTGAATCAAAATTATCTTACCTCTGATATATAACATTGCTTAACATATACGTAAAAATGTATCAAAGAAAATACAATAATTTGCCCTTAATCTATAAGGGTGAGTACACAGATGATACAGTGTACAGTACCCAATCTTTGGGTTAAATTATGACTTTATAATACTGTCTGTGCGCAAAGGGCAATTACTTTTCTGCCAACCAGAGCACATATGTGCTCTGGTTGGCAGAAAAGTAATTGCCCTTTGCGCACAGACAGTATTATAAAGTCATAATATAATATATATAACTGCGTCGTGACGTCACGGGCGAAGATCCCTATAGAGAGCCTAAGTCCCTCCCCTTCCAGTCGACCACCATGATGGGACCTTATTAATTACAAAGACTACAAACCCCAAAGGCGCACATTTTCTCCCAATGAATGAAGCTAACTTTACTGAGGCTGTCTGTCATTGTTTCTACAGTCTTACGTTATAATCGTAACGTTACGCCGTCATACCCGAGTGTTTTGTACCAGACTGCACACACACGAGCAGCGGGTCTCGTTTCGCTTCCCGGGAGATGTAGTTCATAGAGCGATTTTCACATAAAACTAAATGTTACTCTTGTGTTGTATGACAAACTGCGACATTTTTGACTTTCAGAATAGCGTAACGTAACGTAATGTCTGCGGTCGGAGCAACCGAATGGGAAAATGCCTGTGTGTGTGTGTGTGTGTGTGTGTGTGTGTGTGCAGTGATCACTTCGTCAAATGTGAGTATACATTATTTATGTGGCTGATAATTACATTATTCGGGTGTTTAAATACACGTATACACTTATGTGGCTGTTTGTGTAACGTACCAGTTTCCGAATTTTGTAAAGTCAAAGCATGTTTGTAAGAGTTAGTTGCTGATCTAGCCTCGATGGCAGGCAAATCAATTCAGTTGAAAATCGGTCCTCTTCATAACGTAAGGATCACGTCCAACATATGTTTCGATTTTCTGTTTATATATTTCTCTTGTAATAGCGTCTAAAGTAGTACAGTATGGATTTTCCTCCATCTCGTCCATTGCGCTCTAAACTCCTTGCGCTCCATCTCCTTGCGCTGATCACAATCACGTGACTGCAAACCACCTTTTGAGCCTTCGAGGCGAAGACCCAGCCTTAATATGTAGCGGGGAAAAAAAAAAATCTGACAACACAAGACATCAGTTTCACACCCCGGCCATCGACGAAGCAGCGAGCGAGGAGGCGATCGATCATTTAAACGGATTTTATGACAAGGTTGGTGAGGATGGGAAAAAAATCTTACACTTTCGGGCAAACTTTGCCTGTCGATAAAATAATTGTCTGTGGTATATGGGCTGTGGCAATAATTATTTAAAAAAAAAAAAAAAAAAAAAAAAAAAAACACAGCAACATATGGAAAAAAGAAGTATGAACTTATTGATTTTTTTTAAGTATGTTATTTAACTTGTGAACTGAACGTGTAGAAAAATGAACTTTCCCAACATTGGTATCTGAGGATTCATTATCATATATACTGACAAGAACATGCAGATTGTTGTCAATGACACATCTCCATTTAATGCAATGCAGGTTCAGAACAGCAGATGGCACCAACTCTCAAGTAGGAACATAGACCTGCCACTAACCAACAAAATATACTCCAACATACACAGTGGATGTTCCCTTTTTTCTATGGAAGCTTTGTTTGACGATAAAATAAGTAATTTTAACTTCTCAATTCAGATTCTTGCAATTGTGAGATTACATATTGCAATTCTAGCCTTTTCCCTTAATTGTGAGAAATTTGCAATTACATGTTATACAGTTAAAATAAAAGCTTAAGAATTGTGATCAAAATGTTCTGAAACTTGCAAGTTTATAAATTCCAAAAATAGTTACACACATGCAGCATGCAATGACAAGTCAGGAACCACCAAGGATTGATTTGTCAGTTTTATTGAAAACTCTTTTGCCCTTGAACCATTACAGGACCAAGTGATGCCTTGCCTTCCCACTGAATGCCTAGAGAAGAAAGCCAAGTTAGAGCACTTGCATCAAAAGTAACCTTAGAAAGAGAAAACGCTACCAACCTCCATAGGGAGAAGCAGCAAATTCAGCATCAGGACCACATGTTGAGTCACAGCAACCACAAACTTGGTCGTTTCCATCAGCAGCAAACCACCTGCAACAAATACATAGAGCCTTCAGCATGAGAAGTAAACTTAACACCAGCTCCCCCCCCCCCCCCAAAAAAAAAAAAAAAAAACTTCACATACCCATTGGCAAAGGAACAGGATTTGTGCTGAGCATCACTGGGTGCAGATGCAATAGTTGCCTTCAGAATACATGTTATGTAGATCTGGAAGAGATGACAGACATGTCAAAAAAACCAAAGAAGATGGGAGGAGAAGTCAAGTTAACCCGTTATATTTATAGTACATACAGAAGGACTGTTGCCCTCCTGGAACATGAACGCCTCCAGCTGGAACTGGATCTTGTCAGCTTGGGACCGAGGCATGAAGCGGGAGCTGGAAGCTGTAGTTTTGGCATCCACAAAGCACCTGACGACAAAACCATCACAAAGAGCAAATCATGAATGTCAACTGTAGAGCGTCAAGCAACTAGACCTTATCCATGACTGTGACCGTTACAAAAGGCAACTTAAACAGAACTACCATACCAAGGGCCATGACCTTACCCATGATTCTCAATGAAGGAATATCTCGGAAGAGAGTTCACATCAGGTACTTGAGTGGCCACACAGCGGTCCACAAACACACGCAGAGGCACATGATTGTACTGCTTCACAGATGCCTCAATATTAATAACACCACCCAGGAAATAGGAGTATGAAGGCCTCTCATACAACCAATCATCTAAACAAAAATAGTCACACATTTTAGGCACAGCCACAAAAGCATGGGTAATGTTATTTTATTAAAAGAAAGAAAAACCTGTACCAACCCATCATGATCTTCAGGGAGAACACCAAGACTTCTTCACCAGCCTCTGTTGAGGCATAAGGGACCCATGTTGGCCTCAAGGCATCACTGCTTACATTTTGGAGCCTGCAGTTCATGAAAGTACCCATTAAATGGTCTCCCAGTTGAATGAGAAAGTGCAGAAAGTCACAGAGATCCCCCTACCTTTGATAATGGCATTGGACACCAACAATTGCACCATCGGTCCGGGTAATCGGAGTACCTGCAAGCGCCTCAGGGGTGTAGGTAAGAGAGAAGGTGTAGACGAGCTCATCCTCATTCATCTGTAAAAAGATTGTGGTTACCAAGAAGATCCCAGAGATTTAACATACAGAGACTGTGCACTCATATTGCCATAAATGGAGAAGGTCCAATATGGTGGAATTCCTAAAGAGCAAATCACAAATTAGTAAATTCTTCGACATCATTACGGCCCAAGATTTATTGTTATGGTTTCTTAAGCTCCTTTCATACCATTAATGGGATGGTTTACACCAGATGTTGGTTTGAAGGGTTATTTAAAAAGGCACGCATCTTAAATTAAGAATTTGCCCATTCAAATAGATCAAAATTTGTCTCAGCTGCCCTGGCATTGTAAAACCAAGTGAACAAACTTTCCTTGAAAGGTCCTCTACAAGAAAAAAAAAACCCCATTAAGATGCATCTGTTCTCACCATCAGTACACTGTTGCAGTCCTGTAATTCATACTCAAAGATGAGCACTCTTGCCCCAGGATCCTGACCAACAACAGGACATCCACCTAAAGACAGACCAGTTGGCTGGATCAACTGACCATTGCTGAAGAAGTCCTGCTGGACCTCTACGAGAACCCGGTTCTCTCCACATTGAACCGCTACGCTGTTGGGAGTCATGGGTTGCCTCAACTGGAAGTCCACCGCCACCTCACTCTGCACCTCTGGAACGATGGGATACCTCCAATCCAAAGGCTTCACTGGACCCTGCAACAGCAGCTTCTCCTGAAGACCAAAAGGATCTTGTGCAAGGCTTTTGGAGTCGGGACCCAGAGGACTCTGAAACTGAGAAGCCACTTGCAAAGGGTTCCAGAGCCCTAGAGGAGAAAGGGCAGGACTTCTGGAAGCTGGATCTGATTTTGGCCCCATGCTTCTTGGACTATGACTGTACCTCAAACTTCCCAAGACATCAGGCAGATCAAATGCAGCAATTACAGCCACCACTAACACAACTTTCAGGAACCCCATTCTAACAAACTTTGACACAAACACCAGCTCTTGGCTTTGCCATTTTGTACAGCTTTGAGTTAAGGTGGCTCCACCCCTTTTACCTTAATTGATTATCCTTGATTCTCCTCTGGACCTGTAGAGTGTATGTATGCATCTTGGAGAAGCACCATTCTGCACATTTTCTATGCGACTGTCCAAATACCCACACTTGCTGTCTTTGTACTTGACCACTTGTCTACTTACAGAGCTTTATTTACATTTTGATTACAAAAGACACAAAAGAGGCGTTCATGTTCCAACAGTCAACAGTCCTTCTATATGTACTATGAATATCACGAGTTAACTTGACTTCTCCTCCCATCTTCTTTGGTTTTGTGACCTGTCTGTCATCTCTTCCAGATCTACATAACATGTATTCTGAAGGCAACTATTGCTTCTGCACCCAGTGATGCTCAGCACAAATCCTGTTCCTTTGCCAATAGGTATGGGAGTTGTGAATATATATATATATATATATATATATATATATATATATTTTATTTTTTATTTTTTTGGGGGTATTAAGTTTAAGGCTCCATGTCTTTGTATGTTGCAGGTGGTTTGCTGCTGATGGAAACGACCAAGTTTGTGGTTGCTGTGACTCAACATGTGGTCCTGATGGTGAATTTTTCCTACCTCAACCTTTGGAGGTTGGTAGCATTTGCTCTTTCTAAGGTTGCTTTTGATTCAAGTGCTCTATCTTGGCTTTTTTCTTTTCTCTAGGCATTCAATGGGAAGGCAAGGGCTTGCTTGGTCCTGTAATGGTTCAAGGGCAAAAGAGAGGTTCTCATTAAAACTGACAAATCAATTCTTGGTTGTACATGACTTGTCATTTTGCTGCATGTCTGATTTAACTACTTTTTGCTTTGCAAAATGTGGTAAAACTGATGTCCTATACTTTTCAAGTCCCATATAGTATGCAACCATTGGGTTGCCGAAGTTACAGTGAAGTTCACTTTTTTCATTGGGAATGAAGAACCTTTTAAAGGCCGCTAGTGAAAGCTCAAGGTTATGCTTTTAAAGCAATTAGTTTGTTAGTTGTTTAAAAGAATTCTTGTAAAAATAATTACCACTGAGGCATGTATACAGTGTTTTCATTTTTATTACTGTATACCCAATGTGCTTACAATCAAATGGGGGAGCTCTCCTCAACCACCACCACTAGTGTGCAGCTTCCACTTGGATTATGCAACAGCATTCACAGTACAATGGTGCCAGTGTGCTCACCACACACCAGCTATATAGGTAGAGGAGTTGAGCCAATATAATGCATGGGTCTTATTAGGAGGTTGTGATTGGCAAGGGCCAATGGAGGGGATTTGTCTGGGATACTGGGGTTACACCCCTATTCTTTACCAGAAGTGGGATTAATGACCACAGAGAGGAAGGACCTCAGCTTAAAGTCACATCTAAAAATTAAATATTCTTAAATTGAACAAATCTTTCCAAAAGAGCTATACAGCGAACACCTTTTTCGCACCAAGCACTGTGGGTGTTGTAATTTAGTCAGTCTTTTAATATTCCGTTACTCTTATCTCTGCATATTTTGATACTTGGTTGTTTATTCAACTCAATAACTTGTACAGACTAATCTGCTGCTGGTTCATTAGAAGATTTCCTTTGGGATTTTTCAATGTGACATGTTCTACACACCTTCAGCACAAATTGACAAATTTTCTAAAATGAAAATGCAAGTTTTTAATTCGAGAACCCATTTGGTGTGTGTTGTAGAACAGAATGTCAAAATATAAATCCAGAATGAACCAGCAGCGACTTGCTCTTGTGTCATGCCTCCAACACTCTATGGCCTGAACATGTAATATGCATGTACACAATAGCCTGGGTTTCCCCATTCTGCCTTGCCGCAGCACGATTTTAGTCGTGCTGCTAGGCAGTCGGATACCAGAACCAAATTTTCCCCAGAAATAGGGAACCAGTCACAGAATGGGGAGGGAGCATAGCACATTTGATAGACATTCGTAGCACCCAATAATACGGCTCTGGGCATTCGTAAACCACGCCTCAAATACAAGAAATTTAACATGTGGTTTGTGTGTGTGGTCATTAGCCAGGCTATGTACTTTGCAGAAGTTTACATTTGTTGTGTACATAATGGTATACTTTTCAAAAACTTGATAAATTTAATTTTTCAAAAGTTTGCGTTTTTGGGCCCCCAAAAGGTTACTACAGTGAACCATGCATACATTATTTTAAAATTGTGTTGTCTAAATGTCCCCTCAATGCATCAGCTAAAAGAGCCAAAGTGCCTGTGCAAAAATCCAAAAAAGTGGAAACTGCACACTGGTCTTGGTTGAGAGAGCCCCTAAAATGATTGAAGTGCTTTGAGTGTACAGCAGTACAAATGAAAGCATGATATACATTTTTTTTAGTGGTGAAAATTTACCAGGAATTGTGCTGTTAAAAAAATTGTAACAAAGTAAATGCTTCAAAAGCATAACCTTGAGCTTTCACTCAATAGTGGCCTGAAAGGTTCTTTTAAAACTCCCTATGGAGAAAGTTAAGTTAACTTCTGGAACCCTATGCTTGCATGCTACATGGGACTTAAAGAGTACAGGACAACTATCGGTTTCACCACATTGGCAGAATGAGGCAATTTTTGAAAGCCAAAAAGAAGTTCAACCAGACATGCAGCAAAATGACAAGTCAGGTACAACCAAGGATTGATTTGTCAGTTTTATTGAGAACTCTTTTGCCCTTGAACCATTACAGGACCAAGGGAGGCCTTTCCTTCCCACTGAATGCCTAGAGAAAAAAAAAGCCAAGTTAGAGCACTTGAATCAAAAGCAACCTTAGAAAGAGCAAACGCTACCAACCTCCATAGGGAGAAGCAGCAAATTCACCATCAGGACCACATGTTGAGTCACAGCAACCACAAACTTGGTCATTTCCATCAGCAGCAAACCACCTGTAACAAAGACATGCAGCCTTCAACATGAGAAGTAAACTTAACACCAGCCCTGCCAAAAACCTCCCATACCCATTGGCAAATGAACAGGATTTGCGCTGAGCGTCACTGGGTGCAGAAGCAATAGTTGCCTTCAGAATACATGTTATGTAGATCTGCAAGAGACAACAGACAAGTCACAAAACCAAAGAAGATGGGAGGATAAGTCAAGTTAACATTTGATATTCATAGTACATACAGAAGGACTGTTGCCCTCCTGGAACATGAACGCCTCCAGCTGGAACTGGATCTTGTCAGCTTGGGACCGAGGCATGAAGCGGGAGCTGGAAGCTGTAGTTTTGGCATCCACAAAGCACCTGACGACAAAACCATCACAAAGAGCAAATCATGAATGGCAACTGTAGAGGATCAAGCAACTAGACCTTATCCATGACTGTGACCATTACAAAAGGAAACTTAAACAGAACTACCACATCAAGGGCCATGACCTTACCCATGATTCTCAATGAAGGAATATCTCAGAAGGGAGTTCACATCAGGTACTTGAGTGGCCACACAGCGGTCCACAAACACACGCAGAGGCACATGATTGTACTGCTTCACAGATGCCTCAATGTTAATAACACCACCCAGGAAATAAGAGTATGAAGGCCTCTCATACAACCAATCATCTACACAAAATAAAAATAATGATCATAATAATAAGGTACAGCCACAAAAGCAAGGGTAAAGGTTAAATTTTATAGAAAGAAAATCTGTACCAACCCATCATGATCTTCAGGGAGAACACCAAGACTTCTTCACCAGCCTCTGTTGAGGCATAAGGGACCCATGTTGGCCTCAAAGCATCACTGCTTACATTTTGGAGCCTGCGGTTCATGAAAGTAGCCATTAAATTGTCTCCCAGTTACACAAGAAAGTGCAGAAAGTCACAGAGATCCCCCTACCTTTGATAATGGCATTGAACACCAACAATTGCACCATTGGTCCGGGTAATCGGAGTACCTGCAAGCGCCTCAGGGGTGTAGGTAAGAGAGAAGGTGTAGACAAGCTCATCCTCGTTCATCTGTAAAAAGACTGTGGTTACCAAGAGGGTCATCCCAAAGACTTAACATACACCCAGACGCAGGTTTCAAGGGTCATGCACTTCAGTAGTGAATTGAGACCGTCTGAGATTCAGTTCACAAGCACTTTCACTACCCAGCTCTTAACTAGTCCACAATAGTTTTATTTGTTCATACATTGTGTAAAAATCTAAGCAAACACTGATTTTTATAAGTGCTTTGTGGTTTTCATAACACAAAGTGATTTATTACAACAACAAAAAAATTGGGAAAGGTAGCTTTTCCACCTTTTGACCACAAGATGTCGTTAGTGTGTACTGTGTTGAAAAGCTTCGAATAATGAACCAATTTACGAAACACTTGAGGGGAAAGCCTTAGTGCTTCAAAAAGCTTCATTTCACCATCACAACTATTCTGCCATCCATTAGTTCTCCACTGTACACACTTACTTTGTCACCATTCTTGGTTGAGTTTCACTACTTGTGAAACTTTTTAAATTGGGAAAACACGGAGGTGTTAAGATGAAGATGCATCTGTTCTTACCATCAGCACACTGTTGCAGTCCTGTAATTCATACTCAAAGATGAGCACTCTTGCCCCAGGATCCTGACCAACAACAGGACATTCACCTAAAGACAGACCAGTTGGCTGGATCAACTGACCATTGCTGAAGAAGTCCTGCTGGACCTCTACGAGAACCCGGTTCTCTCCACATTGAACCGCTACGCTGCTGGGAGTCACGGGTTGCCTCAACTGGAAGTCCACCGCCACCTCGCTCTGCACCTCAGGAACGATGGGATACCTCCAATCCAAAGGCTTCACTGGACCCTGCAACAACAGCTTCTCCTGAAGGCCAAAAGGATCCTGTGCAAGGCTTTTGGAGTCGGGACCCAGAGGACTCTGAAACTGAGAAGCCACTTGCAAAGGGTTCCAGAGCCCTAGAGGAGAAAGGGCAGGACTTCTGGAAGCTGGATCTGATTTTGGCCCCATGCTTCTCGGACTATGACTATACCTCAAACTTCCCAAGACATCAGGCAGATCAAATGCAGCAATTACAACCACCACTAAAACAACTTTCAGGAACCCCATCCTGACAAATTTAGACACAAACACCTCAACACACACCAGTGCCTGGCTTTGACATTTTGTACAGCTTTGAGTTAAGGTGGCTCCACCCCTTTTACCTTAATTGATCATTCTTGATTCTCTTCTGGACCTGTAGAGTGTATGCATCTTAGGGACGCACCAGTCTGCACATTTTTATGTGCCTGTCCAAATACCCAACAGTATTTGTAACATTTTCTTGGCTTAAATCTGATTACACTGTATTCAGCCAAACTCTGAAACAATAATAAGTAAGCAGCATGTGCAGTTGTGGTCAGAATAAATGGTACCCCTGGTAAATATGATACATTTGCATTGTTTATCCTTTTGATCTTGCATTAAAAAAATGTGTACAAATCAAACCTTTCATTGAAGTAAAAGTGGGGGAGAAGTGAAAGTGGGTGGAAAATCGCATTGTGAAGTAAATATTTTTCTCCAAAATACATCGTCACCTTTATTGGCACCCCTAGAATGTTTTACGATTAAAATATCTCTGAAGTATATTCCTATTAATATTTACCTTTTTCTTAGCCCACCAGGGTGACTAGGAACACGATATTGTCTAGCTATGACTTCTGAGCGTGAGCAGAGAGAGTTTCTCCTGTATACGTGGAATTGCAATATCCCGATGTAAATGGCGACGCACGGTTAGCGTCAAGACGTACGAACAACCTTAAG